GGAAAATCCAGTGTTTTGTTAAAGAGATTCTAACACTACTTTTCTCTGAAAGGTACGTTAAGGTGGTACTGGCTAACTTTGTATGGTTCTTTCCTTCAAAGGTTGCAAACTTGGTTGTTCATTTATTTTATTTTTTTTCCTTTCTTTTTCCGTTTACTGTTTTATAAACAAGAATCAGCCGTCACTTGTGCCTTTAAGTTGCCTATATTTGTTGTTTATGAACTGAGTGTAAGATTTATATGTTCCTACATCATTGTTCCTTGAAATAGAATTTCTTTGTGGTACTTATGCATTTTCTTTCTTTTTATTTCATTCGTTTTTTTTGTTATGTTTTTCTTTCATCTGTCAGAAAACTATCAGCAAATTTGTTGCTAAAAATTTCCAACTTTGTGCCCTGGGTTTTTATTTTATGTTGTCATTATATTCGTCCACAATTTAAGTGCTCAGAACTTTCATCAGACAATGGCTAATTTGTTTTCCTACTCTATTTCTTTAACAGAAAATTAAACAACATACAGCGTTGACAGTTTGTAATAAATCTACATTTAAACATTGCACGTGCAGTATGTGAAGTAAAGGTACAGTGCGGTAGTTTCTCAGTTGTATAAACTGTTAAAAGAATTATTACATCTCTGTCAAGTATAGTTGGTACCATGTATCTTCAAGTTGGTGAGTGTATCATTTTCATTCATTTTGATTACAAGGTAAACTTGTAAATTTTTTAATTAAATATTAAGAAAACCAGCAAATTTGAGTAGAACAGTTTTATGATGACTTATAGAAACAACACCATAGTAAATTGATGGTGGAAACCTGCATGAGGTACAATGAGTGCTAAGGAAGGTTTCCACGGTACAAATTTTCTGTGGTGAAATGTTCCATGGTAAAATTTTCCGTGGAGAACTTTTCCATGGAAAAATTTTACGTGGAGAAATTTTCCATGGAAAACACCACGGAATTCCATGGAAAATTTTTAGCAGGTATTCAATTCGTTTCTGGATACATATTTAATTCGTATCTAGATACGTATTTGATACAGAATAATATACGGCAAAAAGAGCACGTTTATACAGTATTTGGATACCGTATTTAATACGTATTTTCCAGTATTTAATATGTATTTAATACGTATTTGGATACGAATTTTTTTTGAATCTTCATTTGTATTTTATATGGTATTTTGGCTACTAGGGATGCCAGCAAAGTAAGCCCATTAATGTCAAGCTTCAGCCTCATCCAATACCTGTTCTAGCTGCTGCTCCATTAGATCAGCTTTCTGTCGATCTGTATGGCCCTCTGCCTCGAGCTTTTGGCTCGTGTCAATATGTTATGGTTGTTTTAGATGTATGTTCAAAATTCGTTCAACTCATCCCAATCCAAAAAGCTACAGCTGTTATTGTCACACGCAATTTCATTCAAAAATATGTTAACAAAATTGGCAAACCGAAAGTGGTTGTTGCTGATCGAGGACCCTGCTTCCGCTCAAAATACTGGGATACATCTCTAAAAGCCCTTGACATCAATCCTAGACACTCATCAGTGTACCACCCTCAAAGTAACCCTGTCGAGAGATATATGAGAATCTTGGGCGATTTCTTCCGAATTTATTGTCACCAAAGCCATAAAAGCTGGATTTACTATGTTTCATTTCTGGAACAATGCCTCAACAATAGCATAAGCGACAGTACTAAATTTACTCCAGTAGAAATAATGTTAAACACACCGCCCACAAATTTCTTGCAAAATTTTGTAGCATTTCCTCCTTTCACAGAAAGTTTGAGTCACCCTGACAAATTAATCCTTGTTCAAGAGAATTTGAAAAAGAGTGCTCTTAAAAGGCAGAGCAAGCGGGGCCCTCAACCAGCCAACTTACGTTTCAAAGAAGGTGATGAAATACTCCTTAAATCACATCACTTGTCTAATGCTTTATATGGTGAAATAAAAAAGTTTTTCAGACTTTATGATGGTCCATTTGTGCTTGGCCACCCAGTAGGTGAGAACGCCTTTCAGGTCAGAGATCCAACATCAGGTGAAATTAAAGGTGTTTACAATGTTATATATTTCCGCAAATTGTATACACAATGATCAATTATTCTTGCCAGTGTTGACAAACTTAAATTAGATTAAGTAAGAAAATTTCATACCACCGTTGTTAAAAGTCTGAAAAGTGTAATGACTTCTTTTTCTTAACATTTTTTTGTTGGGGAAGGGGGTTAAAAGATTGTGTTTTTACCCCTCCCCCATTTAATTGTTTATCTCTTTCAGGCTGTAAGAGTATGGTTTCGGTAACAACCTAATACTCTGATGTCTGTGGAAAACCGGTGTAAGTAATTGCTATTATAGGGTGGCAAAAGTACCTTCGTCGCCGCAAAATCAAATTTTTATTAAATCACTCTGCAGCAATGCTCAAAATCTTAATATTTAATTTGAAAAATAGAATGAAATTGTGAATCAACCACTGTACTAAT